TGGGTACAAAAATAAGGATCATTTGGGGATCCAAATGGGAGGTAAATTGGACTGGGTAAATTCCAAGGGGGGCAGGGGGAGAGAGAGAGAGCGGGGCTTTGATAAATAAAGTTTCCGAGCAAAAATGTATGAACAAATGCACAAACACTAAGAGTACTGCAGGTATATTAAGTAGACCAAACAATGTGGGTATACTTTATTTCTTACTTTTTTATATTATAAAGAGGTGAAGGCAGTTATATATAGCTAACAGAACTGCTTTTAGACGCAAACATTTTATATATGCAACTATAACATTCATGAATAGTCAGGCAATCTGGCTACAGACACAGGCTTACTGGCTGGTGATTAATATATATATAGATATAGATATATATATAGATATCTATGCCATCTGTACTATATAGATCGATAAGTACTATAAATTATTATATATTATTTCTTTTGTAAATATGTTAAAACTCCAAACTCATACAATTCCCATATACTACTCCAGTGTTGGAATTTTGTTTTCATTTACCTGAATAAAAACAGTTAAAAAGAAAACAAGAAAGAGAAGTAGAAAACTTGCAGGGAAAAGACCCGTTAGTTTACTTAAGTGTAAGCCAAAATGTTTAATGGTAATCTTGATAGATTTTTTAATTTTCCATAGTTATTTTTCATTAAGGAAAAAGTTAATTCTCTAGCACTTGTAATCGCAAAAGAGACCTTTGAAGCAAAAGTAACTGGCGCAGATATTTGAACTGCTCCAAAATGAGCAGCTGCTGCTCTTTCTATATGTTAAACATTTCACTATTCTAAGCATGTCAGAAAGAAAAAAAAATGACCATTGAGAGACTTTCCTATAATGGGCTGTCTTGGGCATGCTTCAAGTGTTCTAAAGCAGCTATGCTGCCTCATTTCTGAGAGTGGGTTGGGTGTGCATCTGGCAGCAGTCCTGGGCATAATGTGCACATGCTCTGGATTACTGTCTAATTTATTTTCTCCCCATTGCATTACCATTAATGCACCACTAGTACCTTTGAAACATTTGGAACTAGCACACAGAGGCTCTGAATTTTAGTCCAGACTCATTCTAATTTTCACAGGTTTCCCCTTCTGACTTTGGAGAACCTGAAAAATAGACCTATTTTGATTTTGAATTTGACTTACAACCAAAGCTACAGGGATAGGCTCACACTAATTGGTTGGACTCAAGTCTGAAGTGTGATGTCAGAATGATACATTATTCTACTTTCTCACCTCATCTTTAAACTGAACAATAGAAATAACAGACAGAAACAAACACAGCTTTGACAGCCAGGCACCTAAACATAGGGAGAATTAGCCCATATCAAGCACCTCAATATAATGGTCAGATTTTCAGAGGTACTGAGCAGTGGCAGCCGTCCCATCTTTGTAGTATGTAGGGGCATGTCTGTATGTGCGCTTTAATTCACATTAGCGTATTTTAATGCTCAATGAAGTGTCACTAAAAACCTGTGCTATTTAGTTAATACACATTAAAATAGGTTAATGTGCATTAAGCATAATTTAAAAACTGTGCTCTTTAGTTAATGAGCATTAAGACAGGCTAATATGCATTTTCCTACTACTCACAATGGAGGTACTAGATTTAATGTGCATTAACCAAAGCGTGCTAATGAATGTGTAAACACGCCTTAGATGTTTAATTTGAAGCACCACCATTTGAACACTAGACTATGACTTTCTAAAGTATTCAAACAGTATCACTTCATGTCAACTGTAATCATCCTGTTTTCAGAAACAAAACGCAAATGTAGACCAAGTGGTTAAACAACTTAGGTGTCAGACGCATGCAAGTTGCGATTATTTCTTCTGCTTGACTAAGGACTGGGCAGTCTAGTACATCTATTTGTACTAGACTGTCTCTTCCTCACACAGCTCTCGCTGACCAACTCATTTGTTTCATCCACCTTTTACATCTCATCTGTCAGACTGTGAACTGTTTGGGGCAGTGGCTCTGTTGGTCTAACAAGGTTGGCCTCCAGGTGCTACAACCATATAAGTCACAAAGAGACTTTTCATTTATAAACTGACACAAAGCCCGAATTTCCCAGGAAAAGTTGCTCAATAACTACCAGACAGTGCCTTTATCAAGTCCCTGGAAAGATACATGTTCAAAATTGAACAAAATACCTTTAATTAGTGTTCCCTGCCCCAGTGGACCATTCAGAAAACAATTAGTCAAGGCTCTATAACTTTTGTAAAACACATCTGGATACATCAACCAAGTTAACTGAATTTTAGATTAACCAGTTAATAATCTGATTCCTGTTAACTAAATGAAAGGAATATATTTGGGGTATCTGGAAAAAACAACAACTCCAAACAAAAAACAACCACAGCTTACTGGTCTATACCCTATTAGTGAACACATGCTGCTCTATGTCAGGGCTGTCTAACTGGTGCCTGTGGGTCACATGCAGCCTGCAAGAGGTTAAATTGCAGCCCCCAAAGCTCCCATCCAGCTACCACTCCTCCATTGTTCAGGATCCAGGAGCAGCTGGGAGCTCCAGGCTTCACTTCCTTGCAGCTTCTCCTACCTACCCTTGCCCCAGGGTGCAGAGTGATACAGCCTTCAGTGCAGGGGAAAGCCTGCAGCCTGGGGTACCCAAGTAGTACAGTGCAGCAAGGAAACAACCAGAAAGCTAATGGTGAGCAAGAGCACATGGTGCAGCAGAAAGAAGCAACAGGGAATTAACTGGTGCAGTGGGGAGGGGGTTGCAGCCCTGGGGCTCATGGTCCCAGCTGGTGTATCCTTGGGTCACTGCAAAGTTGGGCAGCCTCATTTTACATACTTGCTTACTTTAAAAACAGACATGGCCACCAGTTAACTGAGAAATATGCATAATATCATGCATATATAGAAGTCACTTCTCTCAAATTTTTGCCCCTTAAACTAGAAAATGATTTGTGGTGGATGTGTAAAACAAGACCAAGATTTGACCTCCAAAACTGAAATTTAATTTTTATAAGTGATGGCTGGATTTTTATTTTCCTTCTTCAACTTTAAGTTCGTAGTTTTTCCTTGGGCACTGTTAAGTTCTTAGATTTTTTTTCCCCCCCAGGACAAAGTTTTGCAGTTTTTGAGTGTGATCAGAAACATGCTATGTTATGTGGAACATCCAAAAGCAACCCACTTGCATCATCACTGGCAGTGAGAAGTGCTAGAAAACACAGCAGACATGAAAGAAAACAAAAACAGAATAAAAAAAAAAGTTTCCCAAAGGCCTAGTTTGGGAATGTATCCACACTAGCTCATTTTAGATGCCAGCTGAGTTATCTTCCTTTTCCAAAATTAATCAAATGAATTACCACTTTTGCATTACATGGGGAGAAAAAATGGTTCAAAATAACCTTTTGTCCAGTAAATGTGTAGAAAAGGACAATTTTTTTGCCATTTCCCAGTTGGTTTAATAAAAGGTATCATTTTGGAACCAAGAGTTCTAGTTTTTTGTATATCTTCTTAACTTGCGGAGGCACAAGGGAAAATATGGAATTGGAAAAATATATTCTTGGAAGTGCTGCAGATGCAACCCTTTCCAGTCAATTTTAGAAGTCAGACTGCAAGGTATATAGTTGTAAGTTTAATGAAAACCCAGGGGTTACAAGTTGCTTGAAATTCCTCTTCCACAACACATTAGATAAAAAAAATAAAGAGCTCTTTAGCTGTTCTTTGGAATACTTGCTGTCTTGACAGTTCAAGTTTCTCTCTTCCCTGATCATTTACATAGTGTAATAGAATGGAAACACAATAATACAGAGTGATTGTTCAGAAAAAGAGCTGAAAAAAACCCCCAAAAACAAATAACAAAGCCTGTTCAAATAAAAAAGTGGAATAGGAATAAGTTATGTAGAAAACAAAATGAAATGAGAGTCAGACAGACTACAAAAAGAGGGGAAAAGAAACAGGTTCAATTCCTTTGGTAAAAAAGAAAAGCGTTGCAAGTAATTTCTGTAGCACAGGAAGTCTTAAAACCAGTAAGGGACCGGGGAGGGGGGGGAAGAGATAATAAAAAAAACCCCTGACTTTGAATCTCAGCATTTATGATAATACTTTGTATTTATTATGAGTGCTTTACAGCTCATTTAATCTCAACATCCTGCCAAATAGTCTTATGGACAGAAAAACAATTGCAGAGAAGTCAAGATTTCTAAAAGTGGGTGATTAAGCTTAGTCACTGAAGTTAACAACAGGAGATGTCAAGTACTTGGCATTTTTGAAAAATTGAGTTACATAAGCGTGAATTTTAGGAGCTGACCTTAATAAACCCTTTTGAAAATCTTGGTTTAATTGACCTGCCTAATCCTGACCATAGATTTTACAGTCTCCCTAAACTGCTAGGTTATGATTTAAATCACCAATCCCATCCTTTTTATTTCAGAACCTTAATTTACCAAAAGGGTTGTCAGTGGTTTTTAGGATTAACTAACACACTGGTTAGTTAAACCCCTTAAAAACACTATTATCTCATAATAAAATCCCAAAAGCAGTCAGTCATCCAAGATAAACAGAGGAAACAGTTCTCAAACAAGACTGCATACTGTACTTTATTTTATAGCCAAACAACAAAAACAAAATAATTAATAAAAACTGGATTGAAGAGGATATTTGTATAACATTCACTTATTCTGAGCTGTAATTTATGCATTCTAGAGCACATAAAATAACAACACGGTATATTAACTGGGTTTCACTAAACACCTAATTAAGGAACCCATATAGAGGGTCAGGTAGTCAAAAAACTCATTTACATCACTAAAGCCAATATCAAATGAAGTGAGCAGAAGAAAGTTACGATATTCTAAAAAATTGTTTGTTTGGTTTTTGTTGTTTTGTTTTTGCCTTTATCGCGAGCTGGCTAAGCCCAAAGACAAGGCAGCTACACTGACCAGGTAAAATGTTATCACACAATAGAAAAGGAAGAAAACTCTGAAAATAAGCTCAAGTAATCCTTAGCTACATTTTCATGTACCTGAAGGATGAATGCTCCCCATGTACTGGTAAGGTGAGGGGAGGAGCTGGAGACTGGATGTACATAGACTGGCCAGAAGACTGAGAGCCCTTTCTGATTAGCTTTCCAGTGTTGGGATCATAAAGCCGAACTTCAGGACCAGGTTGAGACTTTGGATGGATAGGCGTTGGGTGAAACAAAGCTGTCTGGAACGCACTGTGTGTATCAGGAAACACAGCAGGACTGTTCTCCCTGTTGGATGAAATTTCAAAACAATTTAAATGTAGCGTTTGTAACTGGAGTTACATTAATATTTCTCTTCCAGTGAAAGAACACACCAGACTCCTCTAACTTGTAACAAACTGTATTACAGCTCCACAGCTTCATGACAAATTGAAACTGCTTTTTTTCTTAAGCAAGTTATTTAAGAAAGATCAAGGATCTACACTTCCAAATGCACATAAGAAAGATGCCTTGAATTTATCATAATATGTACATAAACAGACAATTACTATAAACACCTAAATGTCACTCTCAAAGTGTCTCTTACAAAGTTTACAAAGTTACTGAAATGGTTCCGTTACATATAATACACCATTTAAACCAGGAGAGTCAAAGACACAGCCCATGGGCTGGATCTGGCCCATGGAGCCCTATGATTAGAGCCTGGTTTAAATCATGATTTCACATTTCTCATGAAAATCAAAAAATTAAGTGATTTTCATGAAAAAACAATTTGCAACAAAATGCCACAATATGGCCATTTGCTGAGGAGTTCCCCAGCAAGTGGCAATGTCATGGCATTTTGTTGCAACAGGATGGCTGCTGCTGGCTGGGGAAAGCATTCCTCAGCCAGCAGCAAAAATCTAGCAGCCCAGGGGAGGGGGGAGGGTGTCACAAAAAGGGACAGCAGGAGGAAAGAGCTTGGGGATGGGCTGTTTGTTCCTTCAAGTGGGAAAACTGGGGCACCAGGGGTTGGGGGCTGCCTTGGCAGACAGCCTTGGCACCAGGTAGGGGAGGGGCTGTTTGCTCCTCTAGGCAGGAAAACTAGGCTACTGGAGATTGACAACACATGCGCTGAGAAGCAAACAGCCCCTCCTCTACCCAGTGCCAGGGCCGTCTGCCAAAGCTGCCCCCAACCTCCCGCATCCCAGTTTTCCCACCTGGAGGAGCAAACAGCCCCCCCCGCCAAGCTCTCTCCTCTTCCTCAGCAATGATCAGAGGAGCAAGAGGCCTCTGCTGCTGCAATTAAACCTGGCCCCAAACCTGCCCCTCAGCCCACTGGGGGTAGGGGGGATGCGCCATGATCTGGGCATGAAAATGGTGCCCCTGCCATGACTTGGCTATATTAGCAAGCACTGCCTGCAATTTAAACCAGACCCTGCCTATGATCTGGCCTGTGGATCTCAGACAAACGCTATGCAAGGCATACAGCATGCACTGACCCAACTCCATGGGCATTGCATGGAAGCACAGGGAACCAGTCTGGGGTATGAACTTCATGCAGTGCCTGTGCCAGAGAGGTACCTCCTTTCAAATTATGATGCATCATGAAAAACCTTATTTATGGTACAACTGTTAATCCACATGCTAAATTACTCCATACTTTCAGTGAGTTAAACATCGTACAGACAGAGCTCAACCTCTATCACAGATTTTGATAACCCTTTAGTATTTTTCTTTAAAGACAATTCCTAGGTTTCTCTTCAAGTTGTTACCCACTCTGCCTCCATTCTCTGTGTCCCTTCCTCCTTCAATTTGTTCTATTAACCTATTTCTTGTCCAACCAGTTTCTATGATTCAAGAGTATTCATTCCCTTTTTAGTTCCATTTCCTCCCACATTTTGTCCCCTTATGTTCTGCTTCTGCCTTGAGTTTCTCCCCCTCATCTCCCTAACTTGTCATCACTCAGATCCATTAACTCGGGCTTCTCCCAGCATTAAGTTTTGCATGTACATCTCAGCTCCTGGCCACTAATGATTTTCAAAAGTACATCATCAAACCTGCTAATGAATTAGTGGCCGCCATGTGCAGTAGCCCCAAAGAATTACTTGGGCCAGAAGCTTTCTTCAGCTACAATAGACTGTATTGTTTCCTCTAACCTTCCAAGGGACAGCTCTGCATTCATAAAGCTAAAAGAAAGGGTTACTTTCATGAAAGCCCTAAACCTTGCGGACTATTTTGGGTTTCCCCTATGCTATCTTTTCTATAAAGTAAGAACAGATCAGTATAACCATGAGCAACACATCTTTGGTCCTTTCTACCCCCCACCCCCCAAAAAATGTTCACCTGTGTGCTTTGATGTAATCATCCTTCAAAGGAAAGAGCTGCTCTTCTACTTTGTCCCAACGCTCCAAACAGCTCCACAGCCAATCAGGGTTAACAACATGGAGATCTCTGCAGTCCTGAGCTTGCCGTACTTTTTCTGTGCCTATTATGAATTCAAACAGAACAACATTACAGTGTTCTGAGTGGAACAGAAAGCAGCAGTTTAGGTACACTGTATCAGGCAACTGGCTATACTAACACAATTTACAGGCTATGTAAAGATTAAAAAAATCATATTATCCACACTGCACTAGGAATACTATTTTGTAAAATCCCCAGCACCATTTGTACTTCATAAGCATTCTGCTGAAATTCACTCAAAATGGGAAGTACAACCAATGAATATATAACAACTGTGCAAACACACACATGATCAATATTGAGTAAATGAGAAAAATAGGAAAAAGAATTTGAGTTACACATTTCTACAAACTTCCTTCTGTATCAAATTTATCAGTCTAAAGCAGGGGTGGCCAGAAGCAGCTGCTTCAATACTTCTAAAAGCATAAGTTACTTAACATTGACAAGTACATTTAAGACTGAGTATGACAGTCAAGGCCAAAGCCGCCCCCTTTCATTTGCCAGAAGTTTGACACTCATAAGGCAAAAAACAGAAGCATGGACTACTTAGCATAAAAAATAAAATTACACAGAAAAGATCAACAAAGAGTTAGCATGCACTCAAGGCAAATTTGTAAGCAATGGAAAGAAAGTGTTTCTCAGAAGAAATGTGGTCAGAAAGTGTATTTCATAATCCAGCATATAACTAAGCAAAACCTACCACCACAAAGCAAATCACCTAAGAGCAAAAGAGCAAGCAAAGCTCTGACAGTTCTTTGGCGAGATCTCTAGCAAAAACGACACCACTATCATGTACAAAAATAACGCAGCCTCAAAAATATACGATGAAAAAACTAAGAAGGTAGAAACAGGAAGCACATTTTAAACTCAGAGACAAATAAGTCTGCAACAAAGGTGACTTGAGAGAGAACAAGAGAGAGTTTCTACTCCAATGTGTGATATGTGAAGGAGTGAAAGTCTGAAATTTTTTTTTTTTTTTAGCACTGACCAAAAGCATCAAGACACGCAGATAAACTCCCTAATCCTTGGACTAGGGACAGAAATTACAGAAACTGGTTTAAGTGATCAGAAACTGGTTTAAACCTGTAACAGAGTATAAATTCAGCACATATAAACCAGCTTCAAAATGGCAGAAACTGGTTTACGATAAACCTGATTGAATGTAGTATCAGACTTAACTGATTTAGGTCAAATTGGTTTATGGAATTTCTGTCCCAGACCCCTTCCTGGTTTAAGTTAAATCAGATTTCCCCAGCATCCCAGCATGCTTTTCAGTCCTAGGCTAGGCTGGGTTGTCTGCTCCAGAGCTGGCCCTATCCCTCTCCTCCCTAGCTGGAGCTCCAGCTACCCAAGGAGGTGGAGACTGCAGGCACAGCAGCATCTGCCTGGCTTCCCTCTGCTCCCCCCCTCCTTGCTGCTCAAGAAGGGTTTTCCCAGCACTGGGAAGGGGGGGGGGTAGGTGTGTGTGGGTCCAATTTATTGGAATGAATGCAGACAGAACAGTGTCTGCTTAAGGCTTTTTGGAGCTAATCAACAGGCCAGATGGTAGTGTCCCTTTGTTCTTCATTAAAAATGCTTTGCAAAAAGCTATTTAAGAAGAGCTTAAACTAATGAGAGAGGGGCTTTGTTTGCTTGATGGGCTGATAAGCTTTGTGTTCTGATAAGCTCCCTGCTGGCTTGCTGTCAGTGTTCAATTGGGGACAGAGAGGTGTGAGAAATGACCCGGTTTGCAACGAATGCAGTGCCGATCAGTTTGCTGCAGACGGTATGAAGAAGCAGAGACAGGGAAACTGAAAAGCTTGGTATCACCAACAGATGCATGTAGTCCCTATAAGGAGTCCTTCTCCCCCACCTCCCAGCCCTCTGCTTCAAAGTCTTAGCTGGGAGCTGGCAACACACCCTGCCTCTTGAGCAGCAAGCAGAAGGGTAAAGCCTGGAAAGGACTGCTTCCCCCTCCCCCTCCAGGCACACCCCAGCTGGGGACTGTGCAGGCAGGGTGGGAGTTTAAACTGCTCCCTAGTCAGTGCCCTGCTAGGGCCTGGCCATGCACCCCCTCAGCTCAGCATTGAGGAAGGGAAGGGAGGGCTACTCTAGCACCCCCCAGCTTACAGCCTAAGCCACTGCAGGCATGTGCCTGTATTTTCTGAATCAAAAGCGAATGTCTAGTTACTTGCAAATCGGTTCAATCTCTGCAGGTTAGACTACCCTGCAAGGACCGAATCAATTTAGGTTCTGGCTTTTTGAATGTCTGTCCCCAGCCTGGGAGACACAGCAGAGAGAGCAAACTAAAGAAGAATCTGTCTGCGAGTCATATATGAATGCTAAATAATAAAATGAGGGACAGAATGACACCCACTCCAGACAGACAACTGAAAAATACTTCCGAAATTATTTTTACACTTTGTAAATACTTCCAAAAAGAAAAATTAGTTTAATTCACATATCTGAAGAGAAAGGGCACTTTGTGCTTGAAAGCTTGTCTCGTATCTCTCCCAAATATACAGCTGGCCAAGGATATCACCAAAAAAAGCCCTTGCCTCATTAAAAACAGCTATAGTCCTCTTCCATGCCACTGGCGACCATTGACCAATATTCATTTCTAATGTCAGCTACACAGTGGTAAAAACAACATTCATATAAATTTTTATAATGCTACTTTGTATCATTTGGAAACCAGAAATAAAGCGCACACACAATCAGCAGATGATATTCAAACTTGGCTTAAAATTTACATTTCAGCAACCATTTTCCTGGGATGGAAAACCCAGTTCTTGAAGGTAAGGAATACAATAATGCACCAAGGAACTTGGGGATTCTAGTCATGGATGCATTCAAGTAGCTCAGATGGAGAACAACACCCTCCCCATATCTACTCAGCTTGTTTTGTTCCTGTGGAGAAAATGTGTGAAGTTTAAGAATCCTTGGGCCAGCTCTACATCTAGTAAATGGATGTGACCCGAAGAAACAGAAAAGTTAAGCTTTTGATCAACAGCAGAAAGCTTAGAATGTGGAATAGTGAGGTTAAAAAAAAAAAAAAAGAGTAATATTTTCCAATTTCTAGACCTAGAGTTAAGAGGACGGTAATTAATTCGGTGGTTTTAACCTAGTTCTCAGGTGTTTTATCTGCATGACTAACCATCTAACAATCTGACTTCACTTTTCACTGCTTAAGGCAGTGGCAAGATCTGAAATTACAGTTTGTCTGACATACAGCGCAAAGAGCTTGAAGGCGGGGGGGGGGGGGAAATCTCACTATGAATCTTTCTGAATTTAGCTATAGTGGTTTCCCTTCCTTAGCATTAAAGCTTACATTAAAACTGTAATGAACCCTTTGCCCAGTTGTCAACTGTTAGCTTATTAGGTTACAAAAATCTTATAGTTTGGAGCAAGAAGAAAATTAATATCACTAGTACATTGAAAGAGAACATCTAACCTTTGAGAAGTCAAACAGTAAAGTCTTTTTCCCCTGTACACTCCTACCTCCTCCCTTTTTTTTTTTTTTTAAGATTAAAAAAAACCCCAAACAAACCAGGAATACATCCTTGGAGATAAATTCTAGTCATATCCAAAGAACGTTTTTCACAGATTAGTGGCAGCAAAAGAAACATTTCAATGTTTGGGGATTACAAGCTGAAGAACTATAACAAATTAGGTGTCTTCTCCCACACAAATCCCCGATACTAAAAAACTAAATTATGTTAGATTCTGATCCTAAATTAGTTTTTTAGTTGCATTTTATCAGGGCTTTCTAATGGTTTAGAAAGGCTTTGTTTTAATTTCTGGACATGCAGGAAGTAACACTTGATGGCTGAGACTCCGCTAGAAAATTTTAATCATCAGAGATCCAACAATGCTGATGCCAGCAAGTGGTTGCTGTGCAGGAGATTGTAGAGTGATTCCAGAAAAGACATTTGGACCACTTTACAGTTTCCTGTTTAGGAAGGAAAGTTATCAACATCTACTGACAACTCACACTTACAAGGATGCTATAACATGCAGAGTAAGCATGTTTTCAAGTCTATCTTTGGTCATAAATTAGTAAATTTACAGCATCATGCAGACAACTGCTGTAGAAGTGGTTTTTTTTGACAAGATGGATACTTCAGAAAGGCCAAGGATTAGAGCAAAACCCTTAACTTCATTAAAATTATGCTTCTACGCAGGCCATATGGGAGAAGAATCAGGTTTGGATTATCAGATACAGGTTTCAGGAAGAAAAGATGGAGGAATTAGTTTAATTTGAAAAAAAATGCCAGATTCCAGATAGTGAGACAAAAGGAGAGCAACTCCTAAAGTCCATGGTAGGAATCAGGGTGGCAAAATGAACGTAAGTCTGAGAATGAAAAGAACAAATTCAAAGAACCTGATTTAAAAAAAAAAGAACAGGTAGCCAGGAGAAAGTTGGAGCATTTGAATGATACATTCACTTGCATGCAAAAAATACTAGCTATAGTCTTTTGGTTATATTAAATTTATCATACATACACTGTGATAATTACAAAGGATGAAGTGATTTCTTGTATAAATTCGACCAGATTAGGTATCTCTGGCTGATGCAAATGGGACATGAACGTAGGAAGGTAAACAAATTCCAAATATCTGAGAGGAATGAAGTCCAGTGCTCAGATCTCAAATGACAAAGGACATGCCTTGATTTCATTTTCATTTGTAACAGATTTGAGAGGTTGTTTTCTCAGGCATTCTTAAAATAAAATTCTTAGAGTGAACACTTGCCAGGCTCCTCAGTTTTATTGCCAGTTAGTGCTCAATCAATGCTCAAGGTCTCATGCAGTTGGTTTGGTAAGCCATTGCCTATACAGATATGTCTAGTGCTCAAGGATGCAAAAGCTTTAACATACAGTACAAACCAATATAGCAGTGTTTTACTGAATCTATGGAAGGCCTGAAACAAGAGGAGCTAAGCACCTCAATAGTGTTTAACCCTCAAAACTAAAGATAGCAACATGAGCAGTGAGCTTGCTTATCCAAAATTGCTTCTCTACCCCCTGTTCCCTACTCAAGTACCAAGGCTTTCTGCTTCATCCTTGACAAGGTTTACAATGTTGAAAGGACACTGCATGTTTCAGCATATTTAAAATTAAAAATAGCACAAGATGAAATTTTAAATAAATACAGTTTAACTGTAGCCATTTTGTGTCCTGTCTTCAAGGGATACTCAGGTCAGTCCATAAGACTACTTTACAAATCTAGATCAGAAAGAAATATTTCCACAATTCCTCTCCTTTTCCTTTTGGCATTTGCAGGGTAAGAACTCGGTATTCCTCAGAAACCTCAGCTCTGCAGCACCTGTGGAAAATGGGACTCAATTTACCTTTTTTTTTATCCAAGTATTACCTTGCAGAATTGAACTTTCTATGTTCAGAGCTAACTATCCATTGAACATCTGCAAACCTGTGTCAAAGATGTATTTTAAACCTGACACCCCTTTAAAAGCTATTAAACTAAATGAGAAACCAGCTTGACAATTCATTTTAGCCTTTTCATTGACAGACAGTTTTGCCTCCTTCAATTAATTAATTATGGATTATCAGAGCCAAACTCAAAAGGAACACAAGATTTTTGAAAGCCTAAGGGCAAAGGAAGTGCCAGGGTTCTAGTCCATATTGCTGTTTGATCCGAACTACCATTTTCATATTTTACTTGACATCCCAATTTTAATATATCCTATTCGTGACAGTCATTTTGTGATTAGGTTATATGTTTGTCACATACTTTAAGAGAAGTGTATGGACTTCAGAAAGCTACAAAAAACAAAAAAACAAAAACAGGATGAAACAGAATTAAAATCCTTATTCATAAAAGTGGTGGCACTTTGTTTCTTTGTTTGGGGTGGAGGGGAGAGGGGGAAGGGAAGGGAGAAAAACATTGGGGCCTAAACAGATTTAAATCTTCCTATTTTATGTCTACTCCATTAAAATGCCACAGGCAAGTTTTTTTTGTTTTTAAAAAAAACAAACTAGTTTTTATCTTCTAACTAAAACTCAAATCTAAAAAGCCAACTAAAGTACTTCACATTTAATAAAAGTAGTAAAAAGAATACAAATTTATTTTCTGCAACTGGTAGTTCAGTCATTCCTTAATAACCAATTTGTGAAAACAATGCCATTATCAACAGCCACCCAGTCCAGTAGTAACACCTATAGCTGACGTTAGGTATATCTATCACCCAAAACATATATACACTACAGATTTATACTAACTGAGAAAAATTATGAGGAATAGGTTTGGTCCTTTCCTCACGGAATTAACAAGTCATATTCTGAATCATTAAGACAAAGTTTCTGTAACACTCCAGTCCATGTAACTACAGATGTTTTCCCTATTACACAAAAGGAAAGCCCCTTTTTTTCCTTAAGGAAAAAACAATGATTTTAGACATCAACATTTAGAGTCACACAGGGTAAGATCTAAGGATACCTTAAGTTTTCTACAATCTCTTATGGAAAGGATGTTTCAGCTGAGTCTTGAAAAAGTATCCTAGAATTCTTCCTCACTTGAATAGTGAACGTAATTGTGTTGGGCATAGCAACACCTAGATCTTTTCCCTTAGTGCACTCATCCAAAAGATTCCAGGCTTAGCCAAAACAGCATGGTTTTTTGGCACCTCACTTCACTGGTTAATGAAAATTTTTATTGAGAGAGAGTATTATATCAATAAACGCTTGTGACGTACTTCCGTATATAGTTCATTGTTCCGCTGGTCAGGCATAGAAAGAAACAGTATGCAATAATGCATACACTTAACTACATGGTTTTCTTTTTCTTCCTTAAACACAGAGAGATAGCCTAAGGAAGTATTTCCAACTCCTAAGATCCCATCAATAAGAATATCATTCCAGCTAACTGCACACAAGAGACACAAGGCAATTATTTCCATAAACTTGTCCCCAAGGATTTTGAGCTTTAAGTGCAGCTGGAAAACTTTGAGATTCCAAGCCTCTCACACCTGATTTTTTCTTGCCAATTTCCTCTGTTAAATGTTCCTGCCTGATCCAATGAACATATAATTAAGTCTACTTTAACTAGCAATGTCCTCTGAGAATACCAATGGTGATGGGCATTCTTGCTGATGGGTGTCCTGAAGTACTGGCCAGATAGACATTCTTAAAAAGTTTAATATTAAAGTGTTGGGACAGACTCATAAAAGCCACTTTCCTCCTCACCCCTGGTAAATAGGAAGCTTCCCTTGATGGGTTAAGGAGAAGTTTCAATCTGTAGAAGGTAAGCTTTCATTTTAAAGAGCTTTCAGAGAGTGAATTAATGAAAAGCTTTTCTTCCCACCGAGAGGTTGTGGACAGAAAACTGCCAGCCCTTGTGATGCTGTCCATCATCTTTCCAAACTGCAGAAGAGGAAAAAGTAGTTAGAACTATCAGAATTATTAGTGGGAAACCCATCAACAAAGCAATGCCAAAACCATTTATTTTTAATTACCAGGTTCACTTTCCCAATATTTGAGAGAAACACTGGAGCCATTCTTTGGGGAGAACCAAAAACTGAGGCTGGATGGAAGAGATTCTCTTCCAAGTGGGAAGAAGAGAAAGCAACCAACCAGGATAATGAGTTTTATTCAAAAGTTAAAAGAGAAACATTTTTGTTTCTCCATTACTAGCAGCCCAGACTTATCTGGCCTCTTTTGCCCAGATAAATGACCTAGCCCTTCAGAAGCAGAACCTTGGTTGGAATCCATGTGTTCTGGAGTTCCTGACTGCAGAACTGTCCCGTGACAACATGCTCCTACCCTGCTTGCTATCAATATTATATATGGATATTTTCTCTCTTTTTGCACATGGATATTTCTCTTTTTCAAAGATACTGATAAAAATTATTTGATGACTGTTGTGGTTGTACCAATGTGCACCCAAATTGTCAGGAGCCTGGAAAACCTCCAGTGAAGGATATTTCACAATCTCTTTTAAGCACCATACTTTATAACTTTATTAAAGTTTTGCCTCAGATTTAATCTAAATTTGCTTTTCTGTGGTTTCAATCCCTTGGCTTCATGTCCAGGCCCATGACAAAAGAACAGTTCTCTCCTGCTTCTTTATAGCAGCCTTTCAAATATTTGAAAGCTGCCCTCCCATATGGTCTCCTTAATCTCCATTCTCCAGCTAAACATACCTAGTTCTCTTAAGCTTTCCTCAGATGAATTGACTTCCAAAGGCTTGTCCTCTTTGTTTCTCTATATCCTTCTTAAAATGCAGACACCAGATCAGCGCAAACTATTCCAGCTGTGCCCCAAACAATGCCAAGTAGTGGTACTATTATCTGGCATGTCTTGCTTGCAATGCTTTTGTTAAAGCAGTCCAAAATTGCATGCATTGTTTTGGGACTGCACTGCATTGCTGACTTGCATGAGTTTGTGATCCATCATAATACCCAGATGATTCTTGGGTCAGTTGTCTGCAACAGCCCACTGTATGTGTAGAAGAACATCTTCGAGTCTTTTGAAACATTCTCATCGACACTCTGCTGTTATTACTCGGGATAGCGGC